GTACACCTGCTACCATCTTACTCCCTTTTGTGCACTCAAAGTGGCTGAAATCATGATCGCATATCCAGGTTGAAATTGTATCTTCTTGATTCTCAATAGGAACCTATAAGACAATAAGAAGTCTCTACCAAAATTTTATACCAAGGTAATCATTAGTTGCACACATTTTCATATCAAAATTGAAGACAAATTAGTCTCATAATAAAATTTTATAATATAAACAAATTTCACACGGACACAACATGTTTGCCAAGGAAATATAAAATTATTATGTCACTAAATGAATGTAATGAATCTTTCCCACGAGAGCATAAAGATTGAAAACACACTCAAAATTTTGGGAAAGAGAAAAGGAAAGCCTACATAAATGAATCTAATATTTTCCAGCATAAAAGCAAAAATTGCTTAATGATAGTAACAAATAAAATTACAGCAATAAAGTTCCCATTTAGAAAAGTTCAACTTCCACAAATTGTCTACACTGTTTTTAAAATAAAATAAATTAAGAATGCAAAACTTTTATAATAAGTATACAACATAACTTTAGTTTTAAAGAGGTAATTAAAACCACTCAAAATCTATATAAAAAAAATTGATATTAATTTTGTATTTGAAATACCCACAAAAATTACAACAAATACCTACATAGTTAAGGAAAACTCAACCCCCACAAATTTAAGGGAATTTGCAAAATATATGAAGATTATACTAAATTTATAGTTAATTTTAAATTCATAAGATATGCCAAAATACTTTAGAGGATTTACGGGTTGAAAACCTTACACCAAAATTCAAAATTAAATGCCGCTTACAGTGATATAATTTATCATCTATGTCAGTTTTCTCCAGAAGGTTTCACAAAGTACACTTCCTGGCAATTAACTCAAAGTGGCAGCTATCAAGACTTCACACTCAAAAGAACATTAGTTCACTTAATATATTTTATCAAGATTAACTCAAGTAACTAATATGAAGGATTGCACAATTGAAACATATAGGCGTTGGCAACTTTAAAAAGAATCCAAGGCATTAAAACAAAGATGTAATTAAATTGCATAAATGTTTAGTAATGTTAAATGCAATAAACACCCAACAATATCAACAACTGTTGCCAGACATAAATCTCTAAACGTCCTAAAATTGATAATATGCAATTGCGGCACTAAAGTTTTGAAATTAAAGCTGCAGTAAATAAAATTATCTCGTAATTGAATGTGCAATGCAAAACTTCTAAATAAGTTAATATCAATTAACCAATTTTCGAACAAAAAAAAAACTAACGTCCAAAACAAAGAGTAAAAATTAATTTCTCCATAAATGTAAAAGTTCTAATTTTTGAATCAATTAGCCAAAATAAATTGTACCACATTCATTGTAGCAATGCTCACAATTGCATAAGATAGAGAATTGATTAGTATAACTTATCTGGAGGTATATGATACTCGACCCCCAATATCTCGATTCCATCATGCTTGAAAATCACATAAATCTCTATTCTCATAAATAAGATAAGCTTTGGACAAGATCGTTAGTGCAATATATATGTATAGTTAAGATTTTCCCAAGGGAGATTCATTATTATACCCAATCTAAGAGCTCAAATTATAAATAAAAAACCCTATATAAAATGGACTTTAAAAACACATCCAAAGTCCATTTATAACATAACAAAAAGGCTTTTAACTTCTTTTAAATTATAAAACTGCCTTTGATTTCTTAAAACAAACCAAATCCCAAAACCTCATAAAAAAGTCCAAAACACTCAATAGGGCATCAAAATAATTTAATAATTAAAATTAAATTCAATAGAGTCAACTATCATTTTTTGGATTTTTTTAAAATTTATTTATAAAAATTAAATTGTATAGGATTTATTTATAGTTTTAGTGATAAAAATGGTTATATAACTAAATATCTCTTCACTAAATTCATAGAATCAAATTCTCAAATGTATATAGACCCTTTTAAAAGGTAAATTATAATATATGATTGCAATATTTAAAATTTAAAGAAATTAAGGCTGTGATATCACAGAGCACCAGAAGCGCCGTAACGCGAGACATTCCCGCCCCGTCCTACTCTTTTATCCATACACCTGCGCCCTTCCCTTTCCTTGGTTTCTGTTATTTTCCAAATCACTCGGTTCGGCGCCATCCGAATCTCAGCCTCGGTCCCATTACTGTTTTTCGACGGCTCAGATTTTATCTCCCTTACTTCTCGCTTTAAATTTCCCTTTTTTAAAATTACCTCCCACCTAAGCGCACAATCACATAAACACTCTGATATCAACGCTCTCAAACTCTACATCTCTCTCTCTCTCTCTGTCTCTCTCTCTCTCTTTCGCTCCATTCGATCTGAGAAACCATGGCGGAGCCAGCACCGACACCAACGCCAGAATCGCTAGTGGATAAGATCTACGGCCACCACGCGTCGGCGTCTTCATCGGACTCCGACGACGACAAGAAGAAGTCCAAGCACGACGTCGTTAAACCCAAGGTTGAAGACGACAAGCCGTCTACTCACGATTCCGTCAAATCCAAGATTTTTAGGCTCTTCGGTAGAGAGAAGCCTGTTCACAAGGTTTTGGGCGGTGGCAAACGTACCATATTTCCCCCCTCTCTTTCTCCATAATACATTATTAACATTTATGTTTGCATGAATTCATTGTGTTTTGTTTGATTGATCGGAAAAGGTGGAATTTAAAGGAAACTAAAATTATGAAAGTTAATTTTGGGGATCTGATTGAATAACGACTTTGCTGAATTAATATAATATCGGTTTTTTAATTCGCTTTTGTTTCTTCTTCATATTATCGTATATGCGATTAAATAAAGAGGTATGCAGTGCACCGATGATTTTTTTTTTGTTTTTTTAAATTAAATTAATTAATATGCTGGGTTTATTGGTAGGTAAAATAAAGTTAGATAATTGAATTATTGTAGGGTTTTTGTGTGTGTAGTATTAGTGGATAGATTCCAATTGGTAGGCATTATTCAAATTGTTGATTTTACATACTAGTTATTTTTTATTTTTCCTCTGCTTTGTGTTTTGTATATATAATATACGTTTCAAAATGATGTAATGAACATATACTGACAATATTTTAATAGTATTTTCCTGGTTTCTGATACATAATAAATATTTCATATGTTTATAGTATGTGGTTTAGTAGCTCACTTTCTTTTGATATGCTGTGTTGGGTTGTGCCCGCGGGTTTTTATAATATTTTTTAAAGGCTGTGTAGCACTATTGGCATCTTCATTTTGAATTTGGAAACTGCGGATTTGTTTTTGAAATTATGCCTTAGAAAAGCGGAGATACTAAATCCTGCAAGAATTTCTGGAGCAGTTTTCCGTTTCTTCATTTATGACAATGCCTAAGAGAAGAACCTTGCACAAAAAAGACCTCAATTATGATCTAATTTCAGTATTTCAATGCAGCTGCTGATGTCCTCCTATGGAGGAACAAGAAAATTTCTGCAAGTGTGCTTGGTGGTGCTACTGTATTATGGGTTTTCTTTGAGTTGCTTGAATACCATCTAATCACTCTGGTGTGCCATTTATTGATACTCTCTCTGGCTGTCTTTTTCCTGTGGTCTAATGCATCAACCTTTATCAACAAGTAATGTTCTGGTATTCTTGCTATTTTTGGCAGATTTGATATTTGATATAATATTATATGGTCTTAACTTCACTATGTTCCTTGATCAGGTCTCCACCACAAATCCCAAAGGTTCAACTTTCTGAGAGGACTGTCCTTGATTTGGCATCTGCACTGAGAATTGAGCTCAATAGAGCATTTCACATTTTGCGGGATATTGCATCTGGGAGAGATTTGAAGACGTTCCTTGGTGTAAGTTGATATTTCTTTCATAGTGGTGCTGTATGTGTAGGCAGTTGTTAGGATTATAGACTCGTTAAGTGATGCTCTTCTGGTTATCAGGTTATAGCCGTCTTGTGGATTGTGTCAGTGGTTGGAAAATGGTTCAACTTCTTGACCTTATTCTACATAAGTAAGGATTTCTTTTTAGTTTTCGATTCTCTTTAGCGTGTTTCTCGATTTTGATTTAGGAAACATCTGTTATTAACATCTTCTTGAATTTTGAATGGCAGCTTTTGTGTTGCTGCACACATTGCCGGTGATTTATGAGAAATATGATGTGCAGATTGATGCCTTTTCTGAGAAGGCATTGATTGAGTTCAAGAAGCAGTACGCAGTGTTTGATGCCAAGGTTTTGAGTAAAATTCCCAAGGGCCCATTGAAAGAAAAGAAGAAGGATTAGAGAGGCACACACCATGCTGATGCATGTTAAGTGTTTTACTTAGGGGTTCACGTTAAGTTACTGTGTTTTTAGTCAGGGCGGTGTTGAATTATTTGGTTCCATTAGATTACGACCTTGTGCGTTTATGTTTTAGTACTGGTTGGGTGCACACAGCTTAATGAATGAATATATGCGTTTTAGATCTATGTGTTTCTGGATGGCTGTAATTCTTGCTATTAGACCGTAATCTTGATATTTCGGAACTTGATTATACATTTAATTTGAGTTTTATTTCCAATCTAGAATGGAAATTATTATCCTTATATGCCTTAATTCCAAATTGTTGCTCTTGGAAGGAAGCAATCTGATCTACGATATTGTCTGCATTAGCGAACTCACCTTTCAAAATTTGTCCAAGCTACTGACTGATGAATTAGTTTTACATTTGACTGTTTGAGGTCGATTGTTATTAAATTTATTAAATCATCGACGTTAATTCCATTATGAGAAAAAAATTAATCATCAGTCTTATATGCTGATTTCATTATTTCATCATATACCGGAAAGTCCGAATGCTGCAGTTGTCTCAATGATAATGTGAAATGTATTGCAAAAGAAACACAGATTATGAAACAAGAAGAATTTATGAATATACATATATTTTGGTACAAGAACAATAATATTATTCTTATTTTTCTAAACACATATTCTTTTGAAAACAAAGTAAAAAATCCAGCTCCAGGACGGTAGAGACTCAAGCAGCGGGGGAAGAGCCTCTTGAAGAAGCGAGAACTCTGGCCGCTAGATATTAGCCATCCTCATTGAGCAGCTCTATACATGAATGAAATGCTTTTACTGGGTTTTGCTCGAGGGTCTTTGGTAGGCCCATAACCTGGAAAATGGCCCTCCATCGGAATCACTATCACTGTCTGAAGAAGATGCCAATGATAAAGAATCATCCAAGAGATACCCAACCACCTGAAAAAAGATGGCAATATGGTTATAAGATGCAAGGTCACCGGAACCAAAAATCTAAACTGAGCCAGTGATTCTAAGAAGAAAACAAGAAGAACTAAAAACAGAGTAGATTTCATTCTTCAAATAATGGTCTTATTTGGCAATATACGTTAGTAAGGACAAGAAACAAGGAAGATAGTCAAGCATCAGAGTTAGCATTCAGTGAATCCCTGCCAGTATCACTAACAAAAATTGAAAAACTAGAGCAAAGAACAAGATAGAAAATACCTGACTGGGTAACACCGGCTTAATTTGCTGATTTTCAGAATTTAGTCCTGTATGTTCATTTGAACATTTCATGTTATCGAGCCAAACAATCGTGTTGCAGTCCCTACAGTATCCCCTACTGGATTTCAATTTCTTTGAAGAACTACCTGAAATCCAAGCAGGCTTGCAGAGGTAAGAATGGATGACTTTGCACTTGAAAGCTGACAGGAAGCAGAACAAGAATCCACGCTGCGCATGTGCTTGCACCCAGGCATGTATGCCTGTGCTTCTTTGCAACTTATGTTTTCTAGTGACACAACTAGATCTAGAGGTATATATAAAACATCTATTTTCTAGTGATACAATGCATTTTAAAACAGATGCAGCAAAAGCATATATCTAATAAGATACCTAAATATGCTCGTTTGAAGGCTTCTCGCCAAAATAGTGTATACCCTTCTTCATCTTCAACCAGTCTACTAATCTGTCGACCCTTAATCATCGCATCATTATCAGAATTCCCGAAGAAAGTAGTGTATTGTGCCTGCCACAAATTGTTCTCACTTGCCGCTATATTCCACAACCTTCACCAAAACAATCAAAAAGTATTAGAGGTAATTGATCCAAAGCAGTTTCCTCACAAATTGAAGGGAAGAGAAATCACCAGCAGACTAGTCCAACAGAGACTAAAGATTGCATATCAACGAAACTGAATATGTGAACAAGAACATCTTGTGGCAGCTGGGTTGAACCTGAAACTACAGGGATAGGAGACAAAAAAGTTAACAAGGATTGGATGCGAGGCTTAACAGATTAAACCTATCAAAATTTTCTGACTGTCAAACTAGGAACATGGAAATATGGTGAGGTATGAGCAACCATAAAAGTAAAATCATGTTACCGTTTTCTTCTTGGCGGGCTTTAGTGCGCCTCTTATGAGCAACCATTGCATTCTTATATTCTGTAACAGCTGCATTCTTCTTTTGCTTTGGCAACGCGGCCTCGACGCTCTGAAGGAGGAGATGGGCTGCCAAAACAGCATTGCGTGTCTGCATTCTAGTTTTGTAATCGCCATCCAGAAATTTCTTGTTAGGAGAACTTAAACTTGATCCAGAAGAGTAGACAGCTTAAAACAATAACCAGCTCAAAAGTACGTTTCATCCCAGAAAGTCCAAAATTGACAATTTTGTTCATTCAAATCAAGCAAAGTTTCATCACCATCCTCATTACAATTTGCATTATAACCGAATTAAGATAATTTAAGTATGATCGAAGCTCTCAACGAATTAAAATTAACAAAATATTCAATTTTCATCCAAACTTGGGTTGTGAAGTTTCCATTTTAAATACAAAATGTCTCAGAATTCGAATAACAGAAGCAACCCAGATATCAAAAAAAGTTTCTTTCTTTCAAAAATATCAAAACAAGAAGAAAGAGTTTATAAAATCCGAGATTCGGGAAAGAGCATACTCAGGGAGGAGACGAAAGGCGGTGAGGGTGTCCTGGAAGATGAGAGATTGAAGATTCTTGGGAATTTTCTTGTAAGCGCCTCTGAGAATTAAGCTCAGCTCTTTACAGGCTAACGGGTACCTGTGAATTCTTGGCAAAGACTCTTTCAAGCCAAGTTTTTGGTATCTCTCTAATGGTTTTGACATGCTTTCTGTGATTCAAGGGCACAGGGAAGAGAGAAGAGAGTTCCTTCAGATATTCCAAATTTACAACAATTCTGATGGGCTGAGAAGCATAGTTGGGCTGTTTAGTCCTTATGGGCTGCTGATTCGATTGGCCTACTCATTGTTATTAAATAGCCTCTAGGGCTCCACTTTTGACCACTTCTGATATTCCTTTCGTCTTCTTCTTCCTCTTCCCCTTCTGATCCTATTTGGGTATTAGAGCTTGGTTCCGAGAATATGGGCAAAAACCCTCTTTCTCCACAAGAAATGGGTTCCCTAGAGTTCGAGCTACAACTCCAAAAAGAAAAACTCAGGCTTCGCTTCAGGAGCTACAGAACTCCATAAACTCCATGGCCTCCGCACAAGCTCACTTCCAGCAAACGCTTCTGGAAGAAATCCGCCAACTTAGAGTTGGGTTTGAAAAATCAAGAACAAACTCCATATATTGTCTCACTTTGCCTATATTCCATCCAGCCCTAACAGAAGTCGTCAAATCTTAACCCGCCAAAAACAACCTTCCCTTACAAATGCAGATACTCTCTAAATCTGCAACTACACCCAGATTCATTTGCAAAACCAAACCCCTCTCTAAACTCCAAGAAATGAAGAACAACCTCCAACAATGGCGGCAGCCCAACTCCTTCTCTCTCTCATCGTCCTTTCAGTTCTCTCTCTCTCTCTCCTCCGCCCTCCCCACCCAAACCCTCATCAACGTCGCCGAAATCTGGATTTCGGCTACACCTCCATGGCTCTGACCCTCAACCTCGCCTCTCAAACCCTCCTCCTCTCCCAGTCTCCTTCTCTCACCATCTTCGCCCCCACCGACGCCGCCTTCTCTCACTTCGGGCAACCACCGCTGAACCTCCTGCAATTCCACATCATCCCCCTTTATTTCTCTCTCCGATCCCTCAAGTCCTTGCCTTTCAGCGCCAAGATCTCAACTTTACTCTCTAACCGCTCTCTCTCCGTCACCACTTTGGCCTATGACCCCAGAGTCTCACTCAACAACGTCCCCATCACTGTTTCCCCATCATTGTTTCCCCAATTTTCGACTTCTATTAGGGTTGGATGAAATATAGGCAAATGAGACAATATATGGAGTTTCATGGGGGAAAGTGAGACACTTAGAGTTTCAAGGGGGAAATTGAGACCGAAATTGAGTTACATGGGGCATTTTAATAATTTAGCCTTATTATTATTTGAAAACAGTTTAGCCGGGCGGCTATACTATTCGGATATAAAATCGTACAGCCGCACGGCTATACTGTTTAAAGTCTGGACAAAATAAAAATGTATAGCCGCGAGGCAATACCTATTCGGATAAAAATAGTCCCGCCGCGCGGCTATACTGTTTGAAGTCAAAAAATAAAGCGTATAGCCGGGCGGCTACACTATTTATTATTTTTATTTGTAAATAGTGTAGCCGTCCGGCTATACGATTTACATATTCGAATATATTTTAAAGTATAGCCACTCGGCTATACTATTTTTTAGAAACATTAATAAAACCAAGTATAGCCGCCCGGCAATAACTATTTTTTTTAAAAAGAAAAACCGAGTATAGCCGAACGGCTATACTATTTGTAAAAATAATGAACAAACCGAGTATAGCCGCTAGGCTATAACTATTTTTTTAAAAAAAAAACCGAGTGTAGCCGAACGGCTATACGATTTGGAAAAAAAATGAATTAACCGAGTATAGCCGCCCGGCTATAATATTTACCCAAAAGAAAAATGGGACCGCTGAGCGAATAGGGTCCTCCTCAATGCCATGGACAATGAACCTGAACTTCCCTGTGTTTCACGGAGGAAACGACAACCCAGTAGACTGGCTCTGCCTCGCGGAGCGTTACTTCAAGTACCTCAAGACTCCCGATGAGAAGAAAGTGGAGATTGCGTTCCTTCACTTACAGGGGGATGCGATTCCATGGATGACAGGCTTGTACGAGCCCTACCACAGCTTGGATTCATGGTCGCAGTTTGTGGTGAATTTCTTGAAATTCTGTGGGCCTGGAGAGTGCATCGATATAGAGATTGCGCTGAGCAACCATAAGCAAACGGGATCAGTGAAAGAGTACACAACAGAGTTCCTGAGGCTTTACTCTGCCTTGGATTTTGCCCGCATTCAACAGAATAGTCTCTCTCAGACTCAGTCCCGATGAAGATGGAGGGTGAGTTTAGTGGACATTGGCATTTGTCAAATAGCTTTTGGGTTGGATTAGTATGTGTCATTTTTGTTTTAATTAATCATCAGCAGTAAAATATTATGGCATTCTTGTTTGCCTTTTATTTTTCTTGACTTTAATCCATGTAGATGTAGTTTGAATTTTGGTAATTTTACTCATGTAGTTTGATATCATCCGCAATTCAAAGACACATTCTAATTTTCATCTTGAAATTTGAACATCTCCATGAATTCCGACAATTGAAATTACAGCCCGACGTGCCATTTGCAAACGATATATTTCATTTCATATTATAATAGAAAAATTAAAGCAAAGCAAACTCTATATGTATTATGTAATACAGAGAGCAATGTATTATCAAGTGTTACAGAATTTAAGAACAATGTACAAATGCTCTGACTGTATTTGAATATTGTCCATAAGCTACAGGCTATATCTATATATATATCAAACAAATTAAATTCACTCCAAGTTCCCTCCCCACCAATCTGAAATCCTACATGCATGTCCGAATACCACACGTTCACAGAACATGACTAAAACCCCAGCTGGTGGTATTTTGCTTGCAAGACGGCTTAATAAAATACCGAGAACCCACCCTCCCTTTACATTTGGTGAACAGATGCCAAACCCACTCTTACAAAATACAATATATATGTATATTGTACACCGGTGTATACGTTCATTGGGTTGTAACGTTTTCTTCATTTGAGGATCAGAGCTAGAGCTGCTTCTAATTGATCGTCACGTTGTCACGAGCCATCAAACATTTGTGTTTCAGGTGGAGTTTCCAACTTCCTCAAATCTTCACATTCTTTCTCAAAGAACGAAGCTGATCACTGTCTAGGACGCCTGCCTCCCCATGTATTATTAATGTTTTACAGGAAGTAAGTGAGTTGTTGCTTCTTCCTTGAGCCACCTTCTCCGTACAAATCATTCCAATGTTGCAGCTCACTCATTACTGATCCCTCTGAAGCGAAACTGGCAGCAACCTGCATCACACCATAGACATGTATAAACATACATGCAAAACTTAACACACATAAAAGAGATATTAGTTTATGGAGGCAAAATGTTAAAAAAAGGTCAAGTTAGTTACCTGATTCTTTGCCTGCCGCATATCTTCCATGTTTAAAGCTCTCAGGGTAATTTCTCGGTCCTCTTTCTCTTCCTCTTTTGTCTCTGAAGCATCTTCTGTGCTCTTGCCTTGTGCTTCTCTCTTCTTCTTTTCCTGTAGTTCCAAGTATTTGAAAATCATTAAGCATTACTGTAAATGAGAATTTGGAAAAATAAGAATATTGCTAAGGCAGAGGAAGAGCGTAAGAGGTAGTTAGTTACCATATCCTTTTGTCTCTCCTGTTGTATAAGCTCCCTCACAGGTCGATAAGCTGCTGTCACACACAAGTTCTGTTTTCCAGTAGTTAGTTTCATGAGCTCATCATACTGATTACAATTTAAGGTTATAATATTATCGACTCAAAAACTAACCTTAAGATCACTGCCACTGTAACCTTCTGTCATGGTTGCAAGCTCCTTGAAGTCAAGATTTTCAACCTTTTCTTTTGAAAGAAGAGTTTTCAAGATCATTTCCCTATTCTCGACGGAGGGAAGACCAACCATGACTCTGTTCAACACAGAAAAGAGTTCAAAGTTAGCAGACATGAAGTTGAAGTCACAAATTTTTTGTGTCATATAAGAGTTACCGATCAACAAAAATTGTATGAAAACTGAAAAGGAATGTTGCGAACTCTGACTACAATTAAATATAGCTTTATACCTGCGCTCAAACCGCCTGATGATTGCTTCATCAAGGTCAAATGGTCTGTTGGTTGCAGCCAGAACAAGAATTCGCTCTCCAGTTTTTGTCAACAGTCCATCCCAGTGTGTCATGAACTCGTTTTTTATCTTCCTCATGGCCTCATGCTCCCCAACTCTGGTCCGCTGCCCAAGCATGCTGTCAACCTCATCCACAAAGATAATAGTTGGGGAGACCTTTGCTGCAAGTGTGAACAGAGCTCGGACATTTTTTTCATCTTCGCCAAACCATTTTGAAGTGATGGTGGACATCGAGACATTGATAAAACTTGCTCCCGCTTCATTTGCAATGGCTTTTGCCAGCATTGTTTTTCCAGTGCCAGGAGGACCAAAAAGCAATATGCCTCTACAAGGCTTAAGAAGCCCACCTTTGAAAAGGTCTGGTCTTCGAAGTGGGAGCATGACCAACTCCTGAAGTGATTCTTTAATATCATCCAATGCACCAATGTCTGCAAATGTGACTCCAATCTCATTTGCAGGGATAACCTCTGGCCTTATGCGCTTCTCAAATTCATTGTCCGGCGCAACTTCCTGCACAAAAACCATGAAAATTCAATAAGACAACCAGGAGGATTTTATGCACACTATTGAAGGACTTGAACTTACAACTTTTGGCGGAGGTGGATTCTCGCTGTCCTTCTTCACTGCAGGACCAGATTTCTCTGCTTCACCTTTGTTTTCAGGTGCTGCAGTTTCAGTCTTTGCACCGACAGCCTCTTCCCCTTCAGTTTCCTAGAATTTAATAGAAATGATAAACCATTAAGACATCAGAATGTAAGAGTATTTTCATTTGATCCACTTCCTGAAAAACATCAAGAGGTGAAAATAAAAATACGGAAAAGGAAAAGATAAAAAAAACCTTATTGGAATCAGCATTGGTCTCCAGTTTCAGAGAATCTTTCCCGCCACTTTTTCCCTCCTGGAATATACTCAATCCATGGGACAAACTGTTCCAGATCCAAAAGGGGTAATTAGATAGATAAAACAGTCTGTTCTGCAATAAAATATAACAAAAATATATCAATGAAATCAAGCATACAGAAACTTGGCATTTACCTTGTCGATGATATAACAAGCTTTCCATTTCTATATTCTGGATCCTTGTTTTGCATCAAATGATAAGATATCGCTGATACAACGATTTCTTCTATGTAGTTGCTGAGGAACATTGTGTCTGCATGGCAGATGGAACCTAGATCATCACACTCAAGATCATTTGATGCAAGTACCTCAGCTATGTGGTTTTTGTTATCGTGGAACTGGATCATCTTCATGTCCTCTTCCAGTTGGGCTTTCCAGCTGACAAGATGAGTCTCATCTTCAGGGGGGCTGATCTCAATATTGTATGGGAACAAACCAGCAAGCCTCTCATCAACTTCTTTGCAATCATCTTCAGCGTCTAACATCCGGGAACCAAGTACTAACACTGACCCTGAAAGTCTCTTCAACATTTTATTGAACAAATTATATAACCGCCGTGATTGGAGAAAAAGCTTCTCAACGTCCCTGATGTATAAAATGATCGAACCAGTTTCTGATATGGAAGCTAAGACCTGTAAGAAAAATAATATGCATGCCTATTAGCATTACCTTACCTTTTCAGATATATTGAACCTACATAACTATCTAGTCTATATTGACTTAAGTCTTGCATTCACAAAGAAAGAACTTATATCTATAAAATGACGTATGCATCAAGTGGGTAAAATGGCATGTGATTGGGACACCAGTTATATCAAAAGGAAGAAAAGGCTATCAGCCTGAAATTGAGAATTGTAACACCACTCACATCAGCTAGTATCTATCATCATGCGCATCAACTGAAAGTATCATCTAAACATGCTTGTGCATAAATATGATAATGATAACATTACCTTGTATGTGACCAAATAAAAAAAAGAGACATTACCTTGTAAAGTGACTGTAGAAAAAGTTTCTCATCGAAACACCAGCTGGTCACGCGTTTGAGAGGAGCTGAAAAACAAAGAATCACCAAGTAATAAGTATAATTTCGAAGCAAGTTCCTGCTTAGCTAAAACATGAAAGCTAGATTACTTAAACAGCCATTATTTCGCTGTATGAACAAACCTGAACTTGTGGGAGCACATTTGGAACTGAAGCTACTCATATCAGATGCAGAGGAGGCATTTCTTTGAAGCGTTGAATTATTTGGCCCTTCAGCGCCCCTGCAGGTATTAGACAGTGATGTTTTAGAAACAAAACATTACATGTAACCACTGTGGCACCTTTTAAATCAAGATCAATGACCCCTTACTCTACCTTGATTTGAGATCTGTAGTACTGCTTTGACGGCATAATGTGCCTGTAAGAAAACGATCGATTATAACAACAGTGAAGAGTGAACATTACCAATTGTCACTAAACTGAGGACATGAACAAGGATTCAATCAGAGGAGCATTAGCAACAAAATAATATGGCTTTACTTCTTTTACCTTTACTGTCCCCACTTGAAGGGAGGATTGAGAAAGACCCAAGCAAACTGGACATTCGCTCCATTGTCACCTCTGAGATAGACCTCTTAAGATACTACAAAGAGAAGGCAACGAATTAGGAAAAACTCCGCTTGAGCTAATTCAAACTTTCCTTATACATGAAGTGCACAAATGTATAACATTGATTTTGAGTTCAAACAACAAAGCAACTACTACATTGGATTCATGCTTCACCACCTAGAAAATCTAATATGTGCATTAAGAATTCAGAAAAGATTAAAAGCATTCTTAGTTCCTCCTTATGAAGCAGAGAGAGCTTACAGGTTCTCTTTTGGCACACCCATATTTACTCTGGATCTGTAAACATGTAAAAATGAGAGGTTTAAGTACTACTGTCAATTTAATGGATCTATACATACCAACCAAATTCAATGAAAATTAAAGTTGCACGTAGTTACCTTGATAGAAAAGTCAGTAATGTCCAACAACAGCAACTTTGACTCAAAGTAATGTGCTAAAGCCTTGGCGAGCATTTGATGATAAAGTTCTTTGGGAAATAAAACATACAATTAGGTTAGCTCAAAGAATTAAAGGCATAAAAATTTCAATGGAAAACCAAAAATCAGATGACAGTTTTAAATAGCATACCAGCAGGTCCTGAGAGCAAAATAGCTCTACTTGCAGGTGAAAGGTTCCGGGTGTGCTTGGATAAGTCAGAGTGTTTCAGATGAACATATGCAGCACTTGTTAACAACATCCGAGTTCTTTCTCTGCCATTGCCATCATTAAAACAGAAGATGTAAATTACAATAAGAGCAAGAAATGTTGCGTCACCACAAGTTCAAGTTTCAGAAGTCAGATTTTATATAACTAGGAGTACTTATATATGCAATATCTATAGCTTAAAATGCAAATCCACATCATGATTCTATCTTAGAAGTATTTTTCCGGCATTCAATATATTCTTCCACCGGCCGGATGGTAGTGTTAACCCTTAATTTTCGTTGCTACGATTGACCTGTTTTGATAACTTAAAAGACAGAACTTGATGGGTTGCTCCAAAACACAGTTAAAAGCCAAAGGAAAACAAAAAAATCAAGAAGGCTCAGCATCCATAAAAGCAAAGATTGGATTCAATAGCAATTTAGCAAAAGAACAATACGCTAATATCCATGGCTGATAAAACTTCATCGTTGAAAAAACCCATTAATTAAAACAACAAAAACCCAGAAAAATTTAACATAGCCATTATAGTAAATAATCAAGCTAATTAGTCAACTGGTAACACATTCATGTAAACAAAATTTTGCCCAGAAAGAAAAAAAAAAAAGAAAATTCGTGCAGAAGATCTTGGCATAATCATTTGTTGATAAGTTATAAAAATAAAAAAAAATAAAAAAAATCATTTCTTGATGGATTGTATGATTACAAAATTGGTTAAAACTTTAACAACATTCTACCAGGAAAATTAGATATACAACGCACTCATCTTCCATGTGCCTGCTTAAACGATTAACATAAAAGCTATGCAATTGGGTAAGAAGTTGTCAAATTACCTTAGGTAATAAGGAAACTCCTCAAATGTAACTTTGCTGTCTCTGCCATCCAGCACCTGCCTCATCAGCTCCTGTTCAATCTGCTCCGCCGTAACCTCATCGACCGAGCAATTACCGTTTACCCATTTGCTCACAGCCTGCCCAGAACTCAACCCCAGGCCCACCCCAACCCCAACCCCAACACTCAGAGCAGACAAGAAAATGTGCTTCTGTTCCATCAGCTCCACCAACCTTTTAACCGATCTTGAAGAAAGACCAACTCAAAGGTATCTGCAAATCCAACTCTTTGAAGAAAAAGTCTCTATCTTTAACAGCAGAAGTTAAAGGCAGAGGCTTTTTATCAGACTTTCCTGGAAGATATCACCCAAATGCGATTGAGATTCGACAAATGGGTCAGAGATTCATGAACTTTGGAAGAACCAAGAAGATGGGTTGGTGGGATTTCTTTTGGACAAGAAGGAAACTTAGAAAGAGAGAGTCTTTGGGTGCGTATGTGTTGTTTTACACACGTCCGAATACAACGTTTGTCTATGGATTGCTTATGTTCTTGAGCCTCCCCAGCTATTTATAGCATGGCATACATACTAGCGGACGTTAAATGCTCCCCCAAGAAAAGAAAACACACAATGAAAACGATAGATTCTTTTTTACCTCTGGTAGCTGTTTTTTTGACTTACCGGTGACCTCCTAAACTAGGGGATTTCTCTGTTTTCTTTTCTTTTCTTTTCTTTTCCTTTTCAACTTTGCTTTTCCTGTCTTTCCAATTTTCGTTACAGTTTGTATAAATAGTTTATCTTATACGAAATTCATTCATATTTTACATCCTTACCCGCCTTTTTTTTCTGTATTTTCTTGTGGGCATATGTTAAGTCGTGTCAGCTAGCATGGGATGGGTCTCACAATTTGCAGATTGCGACAGTGTAGCTCTGAGTTGTATTTTGGTTGGCTTCAACCACTTTCTTTTCCAGGCTTCAACAAATTTAGAACCATGTTGTATTATTTTCTTGTTTTTGGTTCATGTTCCATTATTTTCTTTGGCATATACAACTGTACCTATCTTGGCGGGCTCAACTTCTCTCAGGTTTTTAGTTGCTAATCTACATGTTTGGTTGTACATTAATGACCACTATTAATTTCAATTTCTTTTTTTTGTCAAGCCGTAGGAAGATTATTTCAATCAAATATTAGAGAAATTCACTATTATATCTAATATAGGGGCTCAAATTATTAAAAAAACTCTATATAAAATGGACTTTAGAAACACACCAAAAATCAATTTACAACATAACAAAGAGGCTTTTAACTTCTTATAAATTACAAAACTACCATCAATTTCTTAAAACAAACCCAACCCCAAAATCTCATAAAAATATCCAAAACACTTAATAGGGCATCAAAGTAATTTAATAACCAAAATTAAATTCAATAAGGCCAGCTGTCATATTTTTTTATTTTTTTGGGTTTGTTTATAGAAATTAAATGTATGGTTTATTTATATTTTTAGTGCTAAGAATGGGTATGTGACTAAATATCTCTAAATATTGTTCATAACGCCCTATAATTTTATGGTGCCTTTTTTTTCAGCAATGCTATTTGAGAATTATTTACAGAAAAAACAACTATTTTTTTAAGGACATTTCCCATTAAGAAGGGTGATAATATACTAAACTCACACACCTACACGAATTCTAGGATTTGAACCCAGAATATTATTTAAGGGAACAAATACTTCAAACCACTACACTAATAGGTCATTCGCTAGCTAAAATCTATTTAAGTTTTGTAAATACAATTAACAAATAATTAGGAAAGCAGTGTAAACTGCGCAGTGACACAAACTTCCAAGAATTACCGAACAATAAACTGTGGGTGAATAGGATAAGCCGTGAGGGGGAGTATAAAATGAATTATATTGGACACAACTTTTTTATTGATTTTCCTTACAGTTTGATTTTTTTAAATATATATTTACTTTCGGTCATTAATTACTTTAGAAAGCACATGACTCAAAAAGGTATTTTGCACGTTTCTTCTTTCTTTTCAAGAAATTTATTGCTTTCCACCACAGTTTTCAAGCTGCCACTATATAAAGTGCTAGAAGACTAAAAGGAGGCGGCTCTATAATAAAATAAACACCTTTTATTTCAACAAGGAAAAAGAAAAGAAAAAGAAAAAGAAAAACTCACGATTTCTTTTTCATTTTGAGAAATAACCTTTACATGCAGAACTTTTGGGTTTTATACCATTTTTTTTTTCTTTTCTACATTACTTTTTGCTCTCTTTAGTAAGAATTGAATAATATATGTAATCATATAAATAAATTTAAAAAAATCGCTTATGAAGTGTACTTTAAGCTGATTTTCCCACTCCTATTTTGTTCACTTACACTCATTTGTATGTCATAGTAAAAAGTATTTTTAAAAAATGAAAGGGGAGTGAGAAAATCAGCACCCTTTTATAAACTATTATTTTGAGATATTTTGCTTGCTTAATCATCACCCTTTTTAGGAAACTACTTAAATAAGGGATCAAAAATTTAAGATATTTTATAGATTTTTATGCCTGATGACAATAAAATAGCAAAAAAAAGGAAAAACTCGATGACAAAGAAAAGTATTAAAGTAGGGTTCAATAATTTGAGCAAAAGCTTCCACGCAAACTCACAATTGACAAAAATTCCAAGTCCAACCAAGGTGGAATTTTTCTACATATAGTTTTAGGTTTTTTCAACCAAACTAAGAAAAAAAGAGTCAGTCGTGAATCTTCCATACAAATTATGGCCCTCCTTCCACTTTTCTTGCTGTGCACTTCACCACTTTATTTTCTTGTATTTTGTGTGATGGGTTATGCATGCAGACGCAGTGGCTTTGTTATTTTGTGGCGTCAAAGACTCCAATGTAAAAATAAAAGGGCAAAGGAAAGTGATGGCTTTTTGTGGGGTTTACTTTGCTTGCATTGCACTTGCAAGTTGCAGTCGCCAAAAAGAAGGTTCATATTGGAAAGAAGAAAAGACAGATGTGAGCAGTTAGAGCTCTTATCAACTTATCATTTGTGGCATTTATATTATATATATATATAATAAGGGAATCTTTCTTTCCTCTCTCTAGGGTTTTACTAGGGCAATATGAGAGGATGGGTGTGAAATTACAATACTAGTCACGTCCCACGTATCCTTGAGGCCTTTTACACCTCAGCAGCACATGCTTTGGTTCACAAATCTTTTGGCAACATTTCCATTGGTGGGTTACACGTACGCATGCAATGCAATGCCACTTTACTTTTTTACTTAGTCACACACCACAGTCGACACCCAGACCCAAAACCAAAAGCTTCTTTTTTTTATATTAATTTTTATTAATTAGGCTTTAATAACAATTTTAGACTATGATTCAAACTCTTAAACTCTTGGTCCATGTCGGGTCAACCCACTTTCTTTCATTCTTCTTCTTTATTATTCAATATCAATGGGTTGGGTTTTGCTCATTTTTAATGAATTTCCCCTGCTTTCTCTAACTTTGTGGCATGTTTCTTCATTTTATTATTCATTTTAGATTGATTATTTTTTTCTGCAGAATCTCTCTCTCTCTCTCTCTCTCTCATCATTCTGCAATTTGCATAGAGAATTATACAATTAATCAGAAAATTACTGCTAATTGGTTCATGATTATCGTGTGTACGGAGAATTTTGAAGCAGATGCAACTCCTCCTATACCTTACAATCGGATATGATTTTCGTCCTCATTGAGACATCATAGAGAGAGTATTCCAAATATTTGCAGTGACTTATTGTGTACTTACGTGTTTGGCCCCAAACGCAAATTCCACCCCCAACTCTCATTTTATCTTCATATTTCTGTTCAATTTCACTCATATTACATATTAAAACCAGCCATAACATGTTTATTTTCAAGGTCCAATTACAAATTAAGGGTTTCTATATAAAATAAAATAAAATAACATACGAAAAGGGTTAGCTTGATTTGAACTAACTTTTCCAAAAACCCTGTTAGTGGAGAGGAACGTAACTTTTTTTTTTTTTTTAATTGCTAAAAGTATTTATAAAGTTATCATTCACAATAGCTTTTTATTTTTCTGTTCCCTTCCATGTTGGTGATGCATAATGAATAACTCGATCGTGGAGATTTCAATTCACTTTCGACAAAAAGCATTCAAACTAAACTTGATCGTGTAAAGCCCTCCTCCCTCCTCCTTGTTGATGTTTTGTTGCAATGTCACCTTTGCTAATTTAGCTAAATCACTATTCTGCTACCCAACCAAATACCTAATTTAAACAAAAAAAATATTAGTAATTAATATTCAAAGTTTCACTTTGTTAAAAGGTGTTTTTGACTGCATAAAAAAACCATTTAGACAAGGCTTGGATTTTTACAGATGTGGACGTAAACCGGATCTTGCACATCTGTCAACTGTGTGCACCAATAATGAACCCATTAACTCTGGTATTTCATTGAGATTGGTTCAACCATTATTAGATTTAGTGTAGGGTGCAAAAGGATCAACTGGGTCTAATTATATTTAATTACTATGACACGAGTATGGTATCAAAGAAAGTTGATAGTGACCTACTCTTTTTTTTTTTTTACTTGAGGCCCAAGTTTTGGCTTTGGGTGGCATGCGACTTTCGCTGCCTCCAGCACATGGTTGGTTTATACGCATAAGACAACAACTTTTTCTTGTGGAGATTTGTCATCTTCTCAAGCTCATATTATATGGCAGTAAATCAATTATCACATCGGGAAGAAAACTACTCAGCACCACACACAAGATCTTGTCAATTAAGATTAAAACACGTATTAATTTAATTCATCAATGTGGTGTTATGTTATGCATGTGGGTGGAGAAGGCACAAATTAAACCGAACCCCACAGCCTGTAAGACCTAATCTCACTTAAATTATTAACGAAAAAAATCCAGACCAATTGTTTGTCCAGATTGGCCCAGCCAGGAAATGCCGACTGGCTCTTTTGTTGGTTTGTGGTGCTAAGTGACACATCCACACAGAAAGAGAAAGGTGCTCACTCTATAAAACAACTAAGTCGGTCTAAAGGCAGGCAAACAACAATATGACTTGCCATCTCACTTTTGAAAAAACAGTGTTATAGCCAATGCGGGGATTACCACCGTGGTTGTCGCCCTCCACTTCTTTCCTGCTTAGTAAACAGAATCAAAATTCCAAGATTTCTTTCCTCCTAATGTAACCAAAAAAATGAGTGTTAAATTAAACTTCATATTGGCAATTCCTAAATTAAACCCTAAAAAGTTGTATGGCACCGTGTAATGCAAAAGCCATATGTATGTGTATATTTCTTCAACCATTAAGACTATCGATTTTCTTTTTCAATACGTACCCATTAGTTTAATATAAATTTCCGTCTAGCCATCTGAATCAGACTGTGTGCGCGTGCGTTCTGTGCATGTTATGCGCTCGAAATGTATACCCCACCATGGCAGGGCCCCCAGGGCCACACCCAAAAGAAAAGAAGTAAACCCATGCAATAGATCCGTCCTTATCAAGTTATTTGTTAGGACATTGCATTTTGCTGTTTCCAAAGCCAAGTTGCATCCGTAGCTTTCAATTAGGACTAACTTTTTTCTTTACGAATTTTCAACCCTTCCACATTACTTAGGTCTATCATTTTCCTTAACTAAGATTTCTGCCAGTCTTTTTTTCTTTTTCTTTCTTTCTTTTCTTAAAGATGAGGAGAAAAAATTGTATCGGAACTTAACGTAATAAAAGATAGAGTTGTAGCTCAAAAAGATTAAGAGTATGAGGTTATAGTTTCGATTCCCCCTCCCTTAATTATAGGTAGTTAGTTACCAATTGGATATTCACTAAAAATCTTATCGCATTCTTAATTTCTCAATTGTGTCTTGCACGATCGAACTCTGAAGTCATGTTTTAATTAGGTCACGGGAATACATTAATGAATTAGTGGTAACAAAGATTGATGTGACAACATTGGGGTTGGAAGCAGGTGATACTTTATATATGTAAGGCTTAGTGGCTTACATATATATTGAGCATGCCACAACTGAGAATTCGTGTCGTACGTTTCATCGACTTCTTATGGTGCTAACAAGCTAGGTAGTGCTTGGTGGGGAAGAAATTATTTGTTTTAGGGAAAAAACAAACTAGAGCTACAATTTGACGAGTAATATTTCGGTTTGACTTTTATATGTGGTGCTACGATCAACTTATGATATAATACATATCTTTGATTGAGAAATATCAACTATATTGTCTACCTATATAATAAATACTGAGACTAATAACATCACATCAATGTGTAATGATAACATCTAAATATTTTACCCTTCCACTACTAAACTCATGACAAGTGCAATAGTCCCACAAAGCCTCGGCTCCAAAAATGTAGGGCCGTGTTGAACTAACGTCGCATGAAATAAATAATTTGTTATTAAAAAGAGTATGTATCCCAGCTGCCCTTGTCCTAATTAGACTTTTACTCATAAGAACAAGATGGAACAACTAAGAAGAGTTGTAAAACTAACTGAGTGCATGAGCATAAATCTAATTTCTCTTTAGAAAAAAAAAATTATAGAGGTTGAGAATGCTTGAGGTAGGTAGGCCTGGATGAAATTCGATGATAAAATTGATTTTAATTAGATCCGCAATGTTTTTCCCAGTTTCTGGTGGCCCAATTCGACCAAGACAAGGACAAAAAGAAGAAGATCCTGCTAATATTCTTGAGATTCTGTCACGTTGAGATCAAATTATCAGTATTTTTTTTGGTGTTTAGCTAAAGCTACAATTACAATATACGTCTCAAGCGTTTGGACTTAAATTACATGCCATTAATTGGGGAGATCATTTTTACTCGCCACTTTAATATAAGGTGTATCCTCATCGCTCTTTTCAACATTTAACATGTGTCAATATGCATAACCATTATTTCATAAATACAAAGTAAAAAGTTAACTATGAGTAAACATGTGAGGATACACCTTGAGTTAAAATGGCGAGCAAATATATTTCTTTAATTAAACCGAGTGAGTTTTATTTTTGCTCAACCGGACTCATGTGAATATCTCCCAAATACAATGGCCAATGGGGTCTTTTAACAAATGAAACAAAACCAATCCATCTGCATTGAAGAGATGAAACAAAATAAAAAAAAATATAGTGAAGATCGTGAAGGTGATAATTAAGCAAACATGATTTTATTTTATTTATAAAAAAATTGTACCCATGTTAGTAAATGTGCATATAAATGCACCAAAGGAGAAACGACTATCAACTGGATCTAGTCAAGCGAAAAAAAGAGCTTGACATGCAAATTAATCGTCCAATTTAGGTTGCTCTTCCTGTTCTTGCCACCGTGCCTTTTGGGTCATGTTGATTGCTCTATCCACCCAAAAGCCCTAGCTAGCTAGGTTTTCCCATTTCTCATGGTTCGCTCTTTCGTGATATGTTTTTTTTGTTTTTAATTACACACAAGTTGTTTCATTTGGGCCACAGCACCAGCCAGGCAGCCCATTGGTCCAGCCGCATAAACTCGGTTACTTGGTTTCTATGCGGATGACTCGTACGTTTCGCTTTTCACTTTATTTTGTGTTACAGGGGAAGGAACTGCGATTGAAGCAACAATATGTCTTTGTCTCAGCATCCATACAAGACATAATTCGGAGATTTAAAGAGGCTCACATAAACTTTGATGAATTTGCAGAGAAGGTCTAAGTCTTAACATAATAGTCACACAGTTGTAGAGCCTTGAGAGACAAAAAGTCTGAAATCTCGTTCGTGTAAAAATCTGGTTGTATGGAGTTGTTAGGAGTCTGAAGCACTGATAAAGTGATGAGCATTTTCCTCGGTTGATTGGTTGATTGAAGAAAAGAAAGGATTTTGAGGAAATGGAGAAAGGAAGAAAGAGAGGAAATTCTCTAAAAGGGAAGAAAGAAAGGATTCTGACTATGTCAAGATTTTAGATTGGTATATCCGATTTGTAGTTAGGCATAAAACCTAGGTTTTCTCTAAAGTCTGGAAAAAAAGAATTTAAATAGTATGGCCGCGCGGCTATACAATTTAAATATTCGAATATATTTTCAAGTATAGGCGACCGGCATACTATTATGAAAAAAATAGTATAGCCGAGTGGCTATACTGCTTAAAGTCTGGAAAAAACACCGAGTTCCGGGTATAGCCGCGCGGGATCGGCTATACGATCTTTATATCAGAAGTCTAGATTTTCAATGCCACTGTAACCTTCTGTCATGGTCAGGCGCAACTGTGAACAGAGCTCGGACGTTTTTTTCATCTTCTCCAAACCATTTTGAAATGATGGTGGACATCGGGACATTGATAAAACTTGCTCCCGCTTCATTTGCAATGGCTTTTGCCAGCATTGTTTTTCCAGTGCCAGGAGGACCAAAAAGCAATATGCCTCTACAAGGCTTAAGAAGCCCCCTTTTGAAAAGGTCTGGTCTTCGAAGTGGGAGCATCACCAACTCCTGAAGTGATTCTTTAATATCATCCAATGCACCAATGTCTGCAAATGTGACTCCAATCTCATTTGCAGGGATAACCTCTGGCCTTATGTGCTTCTCAAATTCATTGTCAGGTCAGGCGCAACTTCCTGCACGAACACCATGAAAATTCCATGAAACAAGGAAGTTCGAAGAAAATAGGTGCTGACGACCAGTAGGATTTTATGTATGCTATTGAAGGACTTGAACTTACAACTTTTGGCGGTGGTGGATTCTCGCTGTCCTTTTTCATTGCAGGACCAGATTTCTCTGCTTCACCTTTGTTTTCAGGTGCTGCAGTTTCAGTCTTTGCACCGACAACCTCTTGCCCTTCAGTTTCCTAGAATTTAATACAAATGATAAACCATTAAGACATCAGAATGTAAGAGTATTTCCATTTGATCCACTTCTTGAAAAACATCAAGAGGTGAAAAACATAACCTGAGTATTGCCGATCGGCTATACTTTTTTTTTTATTTTATAAAAAAGATAAAGCCGCGTATCGCCAATCGGCTATACTATTTAAAAAAAAAAAAAAGGGATTATTCGCAGCAATGGTCCCTCAACTATACCCCAAGTTACTCTTTGGTCACTCAACTCAAATATTAGTTGTAGAGGTCACTCAATTAGGTGTTTTGTTGTACCGTTAGTCCTACCATCAAGTCTCTCTAACGGTAGGGACTAATGGTACAACACAACACCTAATTGAGTGACAAAAATGTAACTCCGACTATAGTTGAGGGATCATTGCTACAAATAATCTTAACTGAAAAGTTACATTTGTCCATCAATAATCTAAAAGATGCTTGCCACGTCATCATTTTAAACAGAAAAAGTAACGGACTTGACGGTAGGACTAACGGTGCAACAAAACACCTAATTGAGTGGCCTCTGCAACTAATCTTTGAGTTGAGTGACCAAAGTGTAACTTGGGGTATAGTTGAGGGACCATTGCTGCGAATAACCTAAAAACAAAAAAAAACCGGCCTAGCGAATAGGCGCCCAAGTGTCAAAATAAGTAAAGCCACGCGGCTATAGTACTTGTAAGAATCATCAATAAAACCGAGTATAGCCGCGTGGCGGTTCTATTTTTAAAAAAAAAATTAAAAAGGAGTATAGCCGCCCGGCTATACTATTCACAAAAAAAAAAAAAAGCCCGCCTTGCGACGAGGTGATCACGTGTCAAAATAAGTTTAGCCGCACGGCTATACTATTTTTAAGAATCACAGTATAGCCGGCTGGACTATTTTTAATTTTTAATTTTTAACAGCCGATCGGCGATACTATTTTAATTAACTTTTAAAAAAAGATATAGCCGTTTGGCTGTACTGTTTAAATATTCGAATAAATTTTAAGATTTTTTATTAACTTTTTAGAAACAGTAGAGCCGGCCGGCTATACTATTTTTTATTTTTTATTTTTAAAAAAGTATAGCCGCGTGGTTTCAGGTTTGCTTGTTTCTTCTTAATGCAGTTCTTTATTGCTTATTTATAATATATTTTGAATATGTATTTTATTGTTGTATCAAAAGATGATATGTTCATGCAGAAACTGGCTACGTCAATGAGATGAAGATTTTCCATTACGTTCGCCTATCATTAAGGTTTTTATAGATGCTGGGACAGTTTTTCAACATATTATACTGATAGCTTCAACTCTCAAACTTTAGGATTTTGGAGTATAATAATCATGCCTTAATTCATTTTAGCTGTATTCTCTTCTCCCCCACTTGAGAATATCCCAGTATATTATTTATTTATCAGTCACCAAATTTGACTTAATACTAAATTAATGTTAGGGTTCAGGGTTGTATGTAGGGACTCTCGCTTCTGCATTAACAAATAGTTGACTAACAGACAACTTGGCTTCTCATGTTCTGTCATTTTGCCTTCAATATTATTATTATCCCAGGGCAGTTGAAGATTGACGGTGTAATAAGATACCCAAGTCCGATGGGTCATCAATTTATCAATATTTTTTTACATAAACAGATGAGTTTTATGTGAAATTTTATTTGTTATTTGGTTGATTATCAGTAATTGAAGGTTATCACTATTTTGTGCATGGCCATGTTCATTTAAATATAAATATATTTGATAGATTACCAATTGACGTACGTTTCTATTCGTGTAGTTTTCAGCTTGGTTTGACTTATACTCATGATGAGTCATGCCATCTTTCATTATCCTATTTATTTGTTCAACAATTGATATAAAAAAGCTTGATATCATATTCAGCGTTTCTGCTCCAAAGTTTTACGATGGAAAACAGCAAAAATCTAGATTCTGTAAAACTGAATTCCCCTGAACTTCCATCTCTCATCAGATATATATCATCAAATGAAGTGGCTGGCTTTGATGATGTTGAGGAAAATAGATTTCTCGATGGAAGCTGTCAACCAAGTCACCTTCAACCTATCAGTCCATCAGCTAAAGTGAGTTTATCTTAAATTTTCATGCTTACTAAATACAGAAGAGGCAGTAGCACAGTTCATATGCTAAAATTGCTTTCACAAATTTATTTCATTCTGCCAAACAAGGAGAAGAAAAAATAAAGTTTATAATGGTTATGCATATACAAGGGCGGAGCCAATTAAGGCCTAGGAGGGTCATATGACCCTTCAAACCCAATTGTAACACTTACAGTTTAGGCTTTTGTTTGCTCATTATTTTCAACTTGACCTTGAGAAAAGAAGGCATGAAGCATATGGAAGTGGGTGGTAGAGCAATTGGTTTGACCTTCTACAACGTATGTGTTTTTATTCATGTTCAGTTTAATTAGCAACATCTTCCAATATTGTCTTGAAACCCATTAAATATTTTTGGAACAACAACCATCAAAGTTTTCTTATATAATTGAACTTATTCTAAAATATATTTATGTAGAAAAACAATGGATACTTAAGATTTTAGGTTATTAATCTATTATCTCATAGTTTTATTCTCTTGGCACATCCTTGTATGCATTTTTCTTCTCCTCTAACCCATCCTAGTCCAAGTCTGGTGGTGGTATGGCTTTTCCATTTATCTTGGCTAATAATGTTGACCCTCCTTGAGAGAATTCCTGGCTACGCCACTGTGCATATAGTAACTTGTTTTATGCATTTTTACACCAGGGAATTGAGGCGGCAGCGTTAGAATGCGCATTTGATGGATCTGAACCCCCGATTCATCAAAGGGTGCATTCTGTTTCTATTAGCATGCCACCATCACCAACTGGAATTCATTTAAACAACAGCAAAAATATGATCTTCAGTGAAATTCCAAATTCTTCTGCCGCAACTGAAACCGATGGCACCAAACTGCCCAAAGCCGTAAAATTTCACTCTCAACCAATGCCAAAAAGCTCTGCACTTGAGGTGGCAATTAGCACTGGACATTTTTCTTATCATCCAAGTATCGAAAGGTTGAAAGATAAGAGGTTTGATACTTTCAAAACATGGTCTGGGAAACTTGAAAGGCAGATAACACTACTCCGCGGAAAGACACCAAGGGAGACTGAACCAGAGAATACTAATCTGCATCATGCAGAAGTTGAACGTTTACCTGCAGACCGATACTTTGATGCATTGGAAGGGCCAGAGTTAGAAACCCTTAGGGTAATGTGTTATGTTCTTCTTCAATATTTAAAAATGTTTATCTATTAAAAAAAGCACTTACAAATGTTCATCTATAAAAAAAAAAGCATTTAAAAATGTTTGATATTGTTTTGTTTCTCAACTTTAATGTGATGAAACAGGATTCAGAGGAAATACTCCTTCCAGAAGACAAACAATGGCCATTTCTTCTCCGGTATCCTGTTTCTTCATTTAGCATCTGCCTCGGTGTTAGCAGCCAAGCTATTTTGTGGAAGACCCTTCCTACCTCTGCCTCCACGAAATTCCTCCACTTAAGCTTAATACCAAATCTAGTTCTGTGGTGCATTTCAGTTGCTCTTGTAGCTGTTGTTGCTTGTATCTACCTTCTAAAAGTGATCCTTTACTTTGAAGCGGTTCGCCGTGAGTACTACCACCCTGTTCGTGTCAACTTCTTCTTTTCCCCATGGATAGCCCTCTTGTTCTTAGCTCTTGGAGTGCCACCTTCATTTGCTAACAACCTGCATCCAGCTCTTTGGTACATCCTCATGACCCCAATCTTATGCCTTGAGCTTAAAATCTATGGACAGTGGATGTCAGGAGGCCAACGTAGGCTTTCAAAGGTAGCCAATCCTGTTAACCATCTCGCAATTGTTGGGAATTTTGTGGGGGCATTGCTAGGTGCGTCAATGGGGCTAAAAGAAGGACCAATATTCTTCTTTGCTGTGGGTTTGGCTCACTACATGGTATTATTTGTGACTCTCTACCAGAGGCTTCCAACAAACGAGACTGTAATCCCAAAGGACCTCCATCCTGTATTCTTTCTGTTTGTTGCAGCACCAAGTGTAGCTTCAATGGCATGGGGAAGAATCCAAGGCTCTTTCAATTACGGTTCACGGATTTTTTACTTCATTTCCTTGTTCCTTTATCTCTCACTGGCAAGTATAACCTGAATCAAGTCCCAATACTCTAGGACTACCAAGATAATATAGATCATTGATTCATTTATTTTATTAAGACTAGTATTCTTAACTTTTTCTAATCCTTCTTCGCTGCTTGTACAGGCAGTTCGGGTTAACTTTTTCAGAGGATTTAAGTAAGATATCACATCCATTAATTTCTCTACATAACCTGAAAATAATATTGCACATTTATACCTGAAATGCCTAACATTCACTTTCATCTGGATCTATAGGTTTTCTTTGACATGGTGGGCATATACATTCCCAATGACTAGTGCTGCCATTGCAACCATCAGGTACTCAAATGAGGTCACAAATGTGGTAACACAAACTCTGGCTGTCATACTCTCTCTCACCGCCACGATCATAGTCACCATTCTTCTCATAACAACCATCTTGCATTGTTTTGTGATCCAAGACCTCTTCCCCAATGACATTGCAATTGCCATCAGTGACAGAAAGTTAAAACCAAACAGGACATGGTTCCAATTTAGACACGGAAGCTCGGACTCAAAGGACATCGAAAAACTTTTGAAGTCAGCAACAAGTTCAGCAACCAAAGATTTAGAGGCCACCTAGCTCTGAGATTTTGAGTAACAAGACGTATATGATGTTATGCCACGACTCGAACATGGGAGGAACATAGGTTTAAATTTTCATAGTTCCAGTGAGCATGTGTAGAGTGAAACATCATATCTTGTGTGGTACATTAAGAGTGCATTGTGAGAGAAGGGTGCTGGTAATATTGTGTGTTATACTAGTTAGATTTCCGGAACCGCTTGAAGAAATAAACCGATCCATGATCTTGCTTAATTAATTGCCTTCTTGGCTCTTGATAATGGTAATAAGTATTTAGCTTCCTCATATTATCTATATGCACGTTCATCACATTATGCAGAGTGTTGACACAAATTCCAATTGTCTCGACCTTTGTATAACTTTGGGATTAGTTATCAGATTTAGTGGCTCTTATTCAATAACCTGCTAAAAAAACTTTGTTTAATTAATCTGTTATTCATGCACTCAATGGCAAAGCAAACAATGTGATGAGCCGAAACAAAACTATAACGATGCAAGGGATGAAAGCTATAGGAGGACACTGTTCATGGGCTGTTGACAAAAAGAGCTGCATCCCAAAACAGAGTAAGGCTCTCTATTCCTGCATATGCTGACATCCATGATCTCCGGTGCTGCAATGGCTACATTCATTCCTTCATCTACTCAAACAATAAAAAACAAACGGGCATTAACCAATGATTTTGAGCAACAATTTATTTTTGTTTTCAATTTATTGCACTGTTTTTTCTTTTTTTCTTTTTTGCGGAATTTGCGTTACATATTTGACCTACGTCTGTGGTTATGATGTTTTGTCATTTGTTGACTTCTGCAATTGTACCTTGATTTTGTTGATTACCAATAATTGAGGTTAAGGTTATGAATACCTATTACCTAGTACATGTCCATTTAAATATGTTAAGTAGATTACCAATGTACCTCCCCTCCTCCATTAAAGGATGTATATCCAATCTAAATTGCTCCACCACCAAAAAACTTTTGAAAATATCTTGTAACATGGATATCCACCACCAAAAAGCTTTTGAAAATATCTTGACAATTTACACTAATGTATTTCTCGGTGGTTTTCTATCACCAGTTACGAATCTTGAAATGTTTCTTAATCCTATTTATTTGTTCCACCAATTAACGTAAAAATTTTTATATTACAATCAAACCACACCATGTATCTGTTGTTTCGATTAGCAAAATTTGGTAAACACTTGACTTTGGCAGCTTCTGATGTACTTTATATTTTGTGCTCTAAATTTGATGATGGAAAACAGCAAAAAACTGGATTATGAAAAAGAGAATTCGTTTGAACTTCCATCTCTCATCAGGTGTGCATCATCAAATGAAGTGTCTGGCTTTGATAACGCTGAGGAGAATAGATTTCTCAATGATAGGTATCAACCAAGTGCGCTTCAGCTTACCAGTCCATCAGCTCAAGTAAGTTTATCTTGAAGTTTCATGTCTATTAAACTAAAAAAGAGGCTGCAGTACATAACATTCCTAATGAAACTAAGTGTTTTCCATAATTCACAGAGAAAACTATAATTTGCTTTGAGAAATTTATTTCGTTCTGCTCTATCTACTACAAGATGTGATTGCGTACTTTGTTTTGTTCGTCGACCGCCAAAGAATGAGAAGAAAAACAAGGTTGTTAATGGTTATGCATATTTTATGTCAGGGAATTGAGACAGATGCCTTAGAATGCGCACTTGATGAATCTGAACCCCAAATTCATCAAAGTGTGCTTTCTGTTTCTATTAGCATGCCAACATCAGCAATTGAACTTCATTTACAGGACAACAAAAAGAATGCTCTTCAGTGGTGAAACAAGTTTCAACAATGGAATTCCAGCTTCCTCTGCCACACTTAAAAGTGCTAGCAGCAGCACACTGCCCAAAGGATTAAAGTTTCACCCTCAGCCAATGCCAAAAAGCTCTGCATTTGAAGAGACAACTAAAACTGGACATTTCCCTGATCATCCAAGTATTGAAAGGTTGAAAGATAAGAGGTTTGATACTTTCAAAACATGGTCCCGGAAACTTGACAGGCAAATAACACTTCTCGGTGGAAAGACACCAGGGGAAACTGAATCAGAGAATGTAATTGTTCAAATTGAAGAAGTAGAATGTTTACCTGCAGACCGATACTTCGATGCATTAGAAGGGCCAGAGCTAGACACCCTTAGGGTAATCTGTCTTTCATGTTATGTTCTTTTTGAATACTTACAAAATTAATAGTCTTGTAAATGATTTTGGATTTTCATATGTGAAGTTTAGTATCAGTTTTTCTTCCTGACTTTTGATCAAACAGGCCTCAGAAGAAATACTGCTTCCAGCAGACAAGCAGTGGCCATTTCTTCTCCGATATCCAGTTTCTTCATTTAGCATCTGCCTCGGTGTTAGCAGCCAAGCTATTTTGTGGAAAACCCTGTCTACCTCGGCCTCAATGAAATTTCTCCACTTGAGCTTAATGACGAATCTAGTACTTTGGTGCATTTCAGTTGCTCTGATAGCTATTGTTGCTTTCATCTACCTTCTAAAATTGAGCCTTTACTTTGAAGCAGTTCGTCGTGAGTATTACCATCCAATCCGTATGAACTTCTTCTTTGCTCCCTGGATAGTCCTCTTGTTCTTAGCTCTTGGAGTACCACCTTCATTTGCTAACAATTTGCATCCAGCAATTTGGTACATCCTCATGACCCCAATTTTAGGCCTTGAGCTTAAAATCTATGGACAATGGATGTCAGGAGGCCAGCGTAGGCTTTCAAAGGTGGCTAATCCCTTTAACCATCTCGCTATTGTTGGGAACTTTGTGGGGGCATTGCTTGGGGCATCAATGGGACTCAAAGAAGGACCACTGTTCTTTTTTGCTGTTGGTTTGGCGCACTACATAGTTTTATTTGTAACGCTCTATCAGCGACTTCCAACTAATGAGACAGTGATCCCAAAGGACCTCCATCCTGTGTTCTTTCTGTTTGTTGCAGCACCAAGTGTAGCTTCCATGGCATGGGCAAAAATCCAAGGCTCCTTTGATTACAGTTCACGGATTGCTTACTTCGTTGCCTTGTTCCTTTATCTCTCACTGGCAAGTATAACCTGAACTAAGTTGCATTACTACTTAAGAACTGGCTTGGTGTTGAGTATCGCTAACTGTTCTTTTAACCTTTTTCCTGATTGCACAGGTAGTCCGGGTTAACTTTTTCCGAGGATTTAAGTACGATATCACTTTCATTTTTCCGAACTGAATCTACCGTTTGTAGTTTTGTACTTGAATTTTTTTTTTCTGACATTCAATTAGATTTGGTTCTATAGGTTTTCTATGGCATGGTGGGTATATACTTTTCCAATGACTGGTGCTGCCAGTGCAACCATCAGGTACTCAAATGAAGTCACAAATGTGGTAACACAAGCTCTGGCTGTTACACTCTCTCTCATTGCCACAATCACAGTCATTGCTCTTCTCATAACAACCATCTTGCATGGCTTAGTACTCGGAAACCTCTTCCCCAATGACATTGCAATTGCCATCAGTGACAGAAAGCCAAACCCACAGACACAGAAGAAGTGGTTCCACCTACATGGAAGCTCGGAAGCCAAAGACGTTGAAAATTTCTTGAAGTCAGAAGAAACAACCTCAGAAAACAAAGATTTAGAAGCCGCCAAGCCCACAGACTTTGAGTGACAACAGCTTGTATGATATTAGGTCCGCCACTTGGACATGGGAGGAACATGTAGACAGAGTGCAACATCATACTAATTTGTGTAGTGAATTAAAAAAGACAAATTGTCCTCATACTGCAACAGCTCATCGATCAATGTCAGCTCAGTCTATAGTGGCGGATCCATGAATTATATTTGAACTTACTTTAAAAGCTTGATCGATACAATATTTTCTTGAGATTTTCTTTTTAAACCCCACACTTTTCTTAGTTCACCCCAATACTTAAATAATTAAGCTGTAAGTTTTATTATTGTGTAAAAAGACAAAAAAGATCATCCAACTTAATACTTAACCCTAATACATCTATACACACACCCCACACACCCCACACACACCCACAACTCTTCAAATTAAAAGTTTTACCCAATAGCAACCGGCAAAGGCACACACACATGATATGCAGCTAGGATACTGCTCCTGAAGACACCCCACACACACCCACAGCTCTTCAAATTAAAAGTTTTACCCAATAGCAACCGGCAAAGGCACACACACATGATATGCAGCTAGGATACTGCTCCTGAAGTTGCTTGCAAATTTGTAATCTATATCGAAATTATTTACACAATCTAATTGTTGAGCCAACTAAACATCGAGTAATGACCATGCTAGCAAGGTTACTATCTAAGGGAGATAATTTTATTTTGATTTCTCTAACAAATCAACATCAGCCATCGTTCCTCTGCCAAGAGAAATCTGATTATACAAGATCATCTAACCTACTTCCTCATGCTCATAATATGATGGAACTGGGATGAATGTCTCTACAAGGAAACAAAATAATATATAAAAAGACAGATGAATAAGCAAGATCTGCCTGCTATTTCATTTTGAACATTGTTCAATCAGTCAGCTCAAAACAAGTTTTCATGGGCGGCTGCTGCTTCAGACAGACTAATCTCAAGTGCGTGTGTAGAAATTAGAAAAAACTAATCTCAGTGGTGTCCACTGCTACATGAATTTCTGCATGCGATTGCAGTAGTTTTGAGTCAATCCTAAAGGATAGCTGTAAGCAGCTGGTGATTTTCCTCTTGAGAAAAAAAGCAGTTCCACCTGTTTCATGTCCTCTTGATAATAACTACACCAAACTGGAGAATGTGCGACGGTGAAGAATGTCCTCTTGATAATGAGGTGGTAATCCTAGGAAAGCAGACAATGAATAAGACTCAGAAATATCATCAAAAAATTAATTTAATTACTTACTATTTCTCATGGCTTCCTCCTCTAAAGGTAGCTTGTGGGGTTTAAATAGAAAATCTCTTTTATTTCTTATTTTTTTTTAGTTTGGGGTGTATTTAAGGGTAGTTTAGGAAGATAGTGGGGTTTTCTTAGAAATTGTGAAAATTTAAATTAAAAATTGGGCTGAACTTAGAACATGGGGTGAACTAAGAGAACTGTGAGGTTTAGATAGAAAATCTCTATTTTCTTTCCTAGCACAAGACTTGATCGATATAATTGTTTGGGCCCAAATTCCACGCGCCAGCCCAATTGACTATTGGCCCATGTCAAAAACAGGAGCCTGAGCTTTGTTTTGTTAAAGTCAGAATTCAGCCTAGATGGGTTTAGAGGCCTAGACCTTTGTGAACCAATTTGCAAGGGTTAAATTCACAAATTAAAGATTAATTGCCATTAATGGTGATTTAATATGGACAAATAAGTTTCTAATTGGTTTAAAGGCTAGGCCCAGCTTCTAACTCAAAATTTGACCATCACTGATGATCACAATTTTAGAATTCAAATCATCAGATTTTTGGGAAGATCTCTCTCTCTCTCTCTCTCTCTCTCTCTCTCTCTACAAAGGCCCACGTGACTCTAAAATCAAGATTTCAATAGGGTAGATGAAGTGATGGGGAGTTGGTAGAAGGGTTAATCGGAAAACCACTCCCCATGACCATTTAATGCCAGAAAAGGAGGGCCAAGTTTCCTTCCTATGCTTGTGAGGGCTTTGCATTACGGCAAGTGGGGTTTATAAGAGATAAACAAGAGATAAGAGAGTTGGTTGACAGAAGATCAAAACTGATCATCATATTAATGAGGGATTTCTTTTGTCAGACTAAACCACTATCCTTTTTTTTGAGCTGGAACAAAGAATCATCTCAACATATTTGTCCTCCAGATATCAAGGATTAAACCCTCATTCAGATTCTCTATAAATATGAGAGGAGTTGAACAGGGTGAAGGACATCTAAAAATTCAATCAAAACAAAAACCCTTAAGTCATACTGACAAACTCAAACAAGATCATACGATCTCAAAAGACTCTTGGACTCTAAAGCAGCCAAGTCATTTTGGTTTAAAAATTCATTGAGCTCCTAAACAAAACAGGCAGAACTCAGACTTTTGACTCCAGTCCAGTTCATGGGAGCAGTTTACAAAAGAAACGAGATTCCTCTCGTTACAAATTTGGTTCAGCATACACCAAATCAAGTAGAACTCAGGTTTTTCATAATATGAAAACCTCAACAAATTTGCAGAGATGCCTTGATCTCATAGAATTGCCAGAATAGCTCTTGGATGATTCATAATCAAGCAGAACAGGTACTATAGTGCAGCCCCAAGCCAGCAATCATCAATCCAGCCGCTTCCAGCCCCGTCTAGACTGAAGAGATCTCAATTCTGCCCATCCAACAAGCCTCTCCATGGCTAAAATAGATTAAAGTTCTGTCAATCTCAACATTGGTATCGATTTCCAGCTGAACCTCATTAGTTGAAAGTGCTGACATTTGAATCCATCATAGATATATCCAGTCCAGCCTGAGTCACAGGCAACAATCCACATGTAGTTGAGAAATTGTGAAGTCCTCACCAGTCTGAGGCAAGAAAAGAACTTACTTTGGAGATATTCCTCACCCAAATTCACAATCACTTGTTCAAAGTCAGAAACTTGGGGTGCAAGTTATCTATTTTTCATAAGTCTGTTAGGATTTTTTTTAACTGCTAACAGTGGCACGCTCGCACATCAAAGAAAATTGACTTGTTGACCACAAATGGTTCTCAAGCCAATGAGGAACTTTACCCTACCATCACAGGATTAAATCTAAACGGGTGAACAATAATTAATACAATTCAGTTTTTATAAAGACTTGGAGTTACATTATATGCGATGATGATCTTTTATTGCAGCAGGTTAGGTTTCCTCTTTTTTCCCCCACGAAGACCAGGAGAAAATAAATGCACAACTTGGTGATTGTCATTCATTTTCTGGAGATGGTTGGCTATTAATGGGCAGGTGCCACTGCCATGCCATTGCGTGTCCACACAGAAAACCATAGGACTTACCAACTTAATTTATGTAGAAACCTAGCTACAATTTCTAGTTTTCAACTAGTATAATGTTAAATTAAGGGGGTAGATGCACCTGATATGAAAAGCTTTTAATTTATGTCCACATCAGGCACCGTATGATACTTTTGTTCGTTCATAATCTGCTTACTTGTCAATTTAGAGAATTCCATGAATATCAGTCAATCAATGGAAAAGGAGGAGAGTGTTCATGGGCTGTTCACAAAAACAGCGGCATCCAAAACACAGGATATGAATGTAGACCTTTCTGTTCTTGCAAATACTGACATCCGTAATTAGGATCTTCCCTCCCTGCTGTGATGGCTGCCTACATTGACATTCATTCCTTCTCTACTCAATCAAACAATCAAACCCGAATTGACTTGGACTTCTTGATTAGGACCCCCCCCCCACTCCTGCCTTTTCCTTTTGCAGAAAACAAGGTCTCGGCAAATACTTGGAACAAGTTATATGCACATTATTCATTGAGACAAGCAATATTGTGTGTAACAAGGATCATATGATCTTAATACTTCCGACATACGGCATATAACAAGTTTCTGGTCCCCCTGGCTCTTAGTTATGAACTTATGATGTTTCCAAATCACCTCTCTCTCTCTCTTAATTGGGTTTTTGGGAGGTCACCAAACTCTTTATACTCTTAGTCATAATTATCAGTTTAGGTCTTCGGTTCCTTACTTGCATAATATTGCTCAATTACATATGTGTTATTTTTTCGTAGACCCATTAGGCCAGTTGGCCAGGATAGTGCCCACCCCTTTGCACCCAAATTTGAGTTCACCCGCCTTTACACAAGTGTAGGTCGTAAATATCTATCAATCAAGTCCTATTCTTGTAGCTACTAAGTGCCAAATGTGCTTGATTACTTGACTTAACAATGAGTTTGCAACTTTTCCACATTCCTGCGTACGGAAAAATTTGAGGACATAATCGCATAAATGTTAATCCATATCCTCAACTTGCGACTCTAATGTAATAAAACAAACAGGTTGATGACAAGAGGAGTTATGAGTTTGAGCTTGTAGTGTGTCAAGCTAGTTGGTACAGTGACTAAGGACCAATAGGCGCGACAAGTAGCATGTATGGAGTTTTGGTCCCCCCAGAGGCTAGGAGGCCCTAGGGCCTATGGGGTGGGGGTCAGGAGGTGCTAGCTATAGCAACAAGAGGAAAACAAGATAATAAAGCTACTCAATGTCGTGCTTCTTTGGCCACCAAAGAGAAAATTCCAAAAGCAAGGACATAAAAAGAAGTGGAAAGAAACAGAGAAGTAATGTCATCCAACTTTGGCATTTCTCTTAGGCACACTTTGTCCATGTCTCCCTGTCTTGCTTAGTTGACATGTGACAAGTTTATGATCATTTCCTTCATTTTAGCCCTCACCGGCTAATATTAGGCCACACCGAAAATTAAGAGCTTCAACTTCAACTGATTGAAACAACAAATGGGTATGCATGTGCTTAAAAGGGGGACCATTAATACGTTGTCCAATGTAGTCTCACATCAGAAATTTAATAAAATAAAATACAACATATTATGAGTGGTTCTACTACTAATAGTACCGAGACCTTTTACTATGTAATTGGTTAAGCTCGGACAATGTAGTATTGGTTGCATTTGACATTTTTACTTCACTGTTTGATATATCAGAGCAGAAACTCAATAACCCAACTCATCAATCCTTTTGTGTTAGTAACTCTGACAAGATTTTAAGTGCTTTGAGGATGAGGTGGATGTACT